GTATGTGCTGCAACAGCGGGGCCTGCAGAGGGCCACCAGGCCTTGTGCCCGCTGCATTCCTTTCTCACAGAAGAGGGCATCCAGGAGACCCTTCATTTTTTACCTTAGAAACCCAGGGCCTGTCTAGGCTGGAAACTGTGAGGGGAGCAGAGACCAGACACTGGCGACGCTGCAGGAGGGAAGTGAGCACAAGCAGCAGCATTGGTGGGGGACGGTCACCAGGCCACGAAACCCCTGGGGCCCATTTGCTGGTACCCGGCGTTTAACGCCAATAACTCATTAATGCTTCAGTTAAAGGAACCCTGTGCCAGAGCTCCAGCACCCCTCTCCTCCCAGTAGCAGCCTCTGAGACACCAGGGAGCCAGGCCAGGCCTGACGTGGCTGGAGCTGTGCACAAAACTGGGCTTCCAGTTTGCTGGGCAGAGTGAAACATTTGGGGCGGGGGGGGGATTTGTTTCAGGTTGGCTCGAAATGAAATTTTTTTCAGTGGACTGAACTAGTTGAAAAAAATCGAATTTCTGGTTGAATGAAACATTTTGCTCAGCCTGAAACAAAGCGCTTCGGTGCTAAGGTTTTTAATCTTTTTCAAACATAGTCAAATATCACAACAGAAAGTTGTGATTTTTTTTCCAGAATTTTTATTTTGGGTTTTCGGGGTTTTTTTCGTTTTGTTTATTAGGCAAATTCAACCCAGATTTGTGAAATGTTTCCACCAACCCAAATCTGTGTTTTTAGTGAAAAAAAGCCTGGGCCGAAAGATTTCGCCCAGCTCTGATGGTTAATTCTAAGTCTATACTCGGGGAGAGGGGCGGGGGATCAATCTAAGATACACAACTTCAGCTATGAGAATAGCGTAGCTGAGTTGACATATCTTAGATCGACTTAGAATCACTTACTTCGCGTCCTCGCGGCACGGGATCGACGGCTGCCGCTCCCCCGTCGACTCCGCTTCCGCCGAGCTGGAATACAGCAGTCGACGGGAGAGCGATCGGGGATCGATTTATCGCGTCTACACTACACGCAATAAATCGATCCCCGATAGATCGATCGCTACCCGCCGATCCGGCGGGTAGTGTAGACGTACCGTAAGGCTGGCTCCAGGCAGAACAGTCCTCCGCCAGCTTTGTCATGCCGAAGCCAAACAATAGTCCCAGTGCCACGTGAGCAAGCAATGGGGAATCGCTCATCTGAGAGCCTGTGCCACTGTAGAGCGCGCCTCGGGACGGAATGCACCTTACAGCACACAGAGAACGTGGTCTTTGCTGTAACTGGGTGTGGCATGAACCAAGTCTCTGTGCTTCCTTGCCTGCCCCACAGGACTGGCCAGCTCATGACCCCCAGGGCTGGTGCTTGAAGGATGAGCTGATCCAGAATTTGGGGAAGCTGTTTATAGACACACTGAAGAGAAAGAGGCACGAACCCCGCCAGAAGGAGAGCCATGGCCCTTCTTCAGGAACAGCGCCTGGCGTCTGTAATAGCCAGGGCCTGGTGCTCACCCCATCACTCCCGTCACTGGTGTTGAGCATGCAGGGGGTGGTTGGATCCAGCCATAGGTGAGCTGTGGCGCAAACGCTTGTTTGCTGGTTGGTGGGCCCTTTCTGGCCCTTTCCCAGTCATAGAGATGGCTGCAAAGTGGAATCGCTTTGGGCTCAGTATGCGGTTAGAATCGTTAGGGCAATTGGACTGTTTGAGGCTCCACTCCGCTGGACGGGTGCAGCTCCTGGAATGGCCCTCTCCAGATCCTAACCAGCACTCAGATACTGAGCACACAGTCACTGCGGAAATGCTGAAGGCAGATGCAGATTCCTAGGGTAAATCAGACAGAAAAAACTGGGTTTGCAGTAAAAGTCTGAGGCCGACTTCTCCCATCATAGAGGAGAAGTAAAAGTCACACTAGTCCTCCTTTGGCCACGGGAGGAGCAGAGGGGATTCCTGCTGGAGAGGGTGCTGTACAATCACACGTCTCTTTCAGCTGGATTGTGGCCTGCCACATTGGACTGAGGGATGGACCTGCCTGCCTCTCCCCATGTCGTCAGCTCCGCTCTCCATGGCAATGTACGTGTCGCTCCTCCTTGCACTTTCCTCATTATGAGACCAACTTCGCTATAGCGGGGAAACAGGCCCCTTTCTGTGTTTCCTAGTTTCTGTTCCCAGCTGTACTTGATGTAGAAAGCGTACAATATATTGTAAAGGGAGACCCAGCAATTAAAAAGCCTAAAGGAAATGCACAGGACGCATGTCTGCCAGCCTTTGCTTTTGTCTAGTTGGTCTCGGATGAGCAGTTTTGCTACCAAGCTGTCGTTTTCTTTAGATGGGGTTTAGAGGAGGGTGAGGGCAAAGATCAAGGCCCTGGAAAAGCTCTCCTGGAGAGAGAGGTGGAAACGACCGGGATCATCACCTTAGAGCGGACATGGACAAGAGGGAATTAGGGCTGTGGTGCCAGGCAGTGGGTGCTGGTGCGGGGGATTGGTGCCCTCTCGATGGGCAAGGAGGTGGCGACAGAAGAGAAGGATGCTGGCCTATGATTTTGGGCTCCTCCCCATGAATTTGGACCCTGGGTGGGTTGGGACATTTGGGAAGCACTGGGTTATTAGACCCCGATGGAGGTTCTTATCGGAACCTCTCTGAGACTCCTATCGATAGCTCCCTGGACCAGAGCAAAGTCGACAGGGCCTCCTTAGACAGGGCTAGCTGTGATAGCCGAGGGGGCGGGTCAGGAGAGCATGCCATGTGGGGCAGGGCCATGTGGGTCTGGAAGAAGCGCATGCACTCTGGTAAGCAGCCATGTGGAGCTGAAAGGTCATGGACTGGCCCCAGCCCCTGTCGATCCCAGCAGTGCAGGACGAGGCCCAGTGTTGGGCTGTTGGGCAGGGAATATCCCCAGAGGAGTGGAAAAGCAGAAAGCAGTGCTGGCAGCCCGCCCCCCCCCCCAAGGAGCG